GTCTGACGAATTGGATCGTGATAACGATTCCAATGTAATAAATTATAACCATATAATATTAGTGTTTGAGCCTTTTATATCATATTCTTACTCTGTCCTGGGCATTGAGTTCTACCTATCATCTTGGGAATTTATTTATATATATATATATATATATATATATATATATATATTGACGACTATTATATATATATATATATATATATATATATATATATATATATAAAGATATAATGTTGTCAAGATGACAATTAAAAATTGTTTTTCCTCTCCAAATTTTTATCTAATTTATTCCTATTAAGAGAGAACAGTGCCAGTTTCCCAGAGTATTCATTAGTTCAATGAAAAGAAGTTGCCACAGTAATGGTGGAAAAGTATCTGAACAATGACTTGCTCAGGAAATGATGCCTTTTCACCGATTTGAATTTGGTCTGATCTATCTATCTATCTATCTATCTATCTATCTATCTATCTATCTATCCTGAGACCAGTATACTGATGATGAGTGGGAATACGCTGATGATATAGGTATTCATAGTTGCTGATTAAGTTGCTGGTGATAAGTATTCTACTTGGTATAAAATGAACTTGAACCAAAAAATCAACATTCTTTAACGAGTGTGGAATTAATAAATACTAAACACTTCAAAATACTTCGGTGTATTGATCAGTTACAACAAATTTATTATAGAAGAAATGGAAATTCAACACATGGTCGGCTAGAGACAATTTTGTATAACACCATAAAACATTATAAAATTAAAAATTAATCTTAGAACTCGAGTCACATTACTGAACCGCCTCATCAGATCTAGACTTGTGTTTAAATTTGTACCTAAATTTTTTGGCACCAAAATTGGGGCACAAGAAAGAAAAGGTTGAGAAACAACGATGAAACAGATCCGTAATTGTCTTTATTCGTACCTCAAAATACGAATTTGTTTTCAAATGGTTAATATATTTATATCTTAAATGGCGCTAGAAATTTTCCTATTTAAATGCAAATGGACAACAATGATTTATGAACCCGCAATATATAGCTAATATATATTTTTCGTCATGTGCACATCCAGAAAATATATCTAATCTTGTATTTAATATTTGGTTGGGGCTTGGGAAGAACAATACTGTCAATTTCTCTTTGCACGATTTAAAAATGTTCATCCTGTGTAGCCTTGCCCTTTTTTAATCTAAGAAATCAAGTTGTGTTCTTAAATAGCCTTAGCGAATATAGATTCACATTTCCGTGTCATGCCAGGTGTCCAGTTTGTTTACAAATGTCAAAACTGTCAAAAACCGTTTTCTTAGATGAATCATTAAAAATGGCTTTAATCAAATGAACCCTGTGAGTCTTGAATTAAGCAGCTCTTCATCTGACCTTGTAGACTGGCCCTACAGAATCACAAACAACAAACTCTGCCAAATAATAGAAACATCAATTTGAAGACTTTATATTTGCGCTGACATCTTTATTCTCTTAAATTTTCCGAACGTATTTAAACAAGACGGACCTATTGCGATAATAACTCGGCATCAAATATATCATGTGGTTACAATGCCCCTGTTTAAATTTGCATTCCTCGGAACGAATATATCATAGTGAGCATTTCTGTAAATTAAATCTCTGCATTATATATGATACTACTAGTTAAACATTGTCCATTGAGGGGGTAATTACAGGTTGAAAGTTGAGTAAGGTAATAACTTTCATTTGTTTCTAATTTCTGTGTGTTGTGCTTTGTACCATTCCTTGGCAGTGTGTTGTCTCTTTTTCATCATCTCAAAATTTTCATCACTCCTTTTTTCTCTTATTTCATTCGCCGGTGTCACAAGTAATTCTCTGAACGTGTTCCATTTGAACAAGTTATGTATAATTCTCATTGCAAATTGTATCTGTCACATTGTAGTTTCAGCATTGCTTTGATTTTCTTTAGTTTCTGCAGTTTTACTATTAAGCAGCATACGGCTAAAATGTGATCACTTCCATACTAGGCACTTGGGTATATTTTATAGTGTAAAACTGGGTTTCTTAACTTTCCTTTGATAATTATGCAAACAAAGTAGTTCTTAATGTCTCCCACAGGCTTCTCATTGTCCATAAGCATCTTGTATGTTTTTGAAACCAGGCGGTGTGGTCTTTTACTGTGCACCATTGGATTCGTCTTTCGGAACTTGACAACTAAAACAAACACATTTCTTCATGATATTATCTACTATTAACCCTACTCCACTTTTATTTTTCTCTGCTTGCAAATTTGATACTGTGTGCATCACACAGTTCCAGAATGTTAATATCTACACTATTCTTTTCCTGCTTGATCAATCACGTTTACTGCATATTTTGGAAAGCAGTTTGTATTAATTAAGAGCGCAGATACGTTAATATGTATATATATATATATATATATATATATATATATATATATATATATATATATATATATATATATATATATGTATGAGGCAGGATGTGTGTGTGTAACGAAGGCACGGTCGCAATTTTCGACGGATTTGCACCAACATTTACATTCACAGGCTGCAAGTTGGCGGGAAGGCCAAGACCGACTTTGCATTTCCCAACTCCCATCGATAGTGGAAATAATCATTTCATGCTTCTATGGCAGTTTTCATGTAGTTTGCGGCCATTTTCTACTGGCCAGAATGAGAGCCAATAGCTGGCTGCCACGTATAGGCAGGAAGATTCTATTGGTCAGCGTGAGAGCCAACAGCTGACTGACACGAATGTTAACTAGCATGCTAGCATGCCAAAAAGAAATAAAATCAATAGCTACATTCGTCACAAGTGGGAAAAATTTAAATCTGCATGGCACTTTACTCCAATTAGCTCATTCGCTTGCTTAAACTCAACGTTAATTCTGATTCCTCAGAACTGGGTTGGGTGTAAAAAAAGTGTTTGTTGTTAACATTCTTTTTTCATTCGGTTTTTCCAGTTACGAGTCCTTTTTTTTTTAAAGCTGATCGTTTTGTGTTCATTTTGTTTAGTTCTTTTTTCGTAACAGATTTAATGTTTAGTATAGAGATTAGAAAAATTCGCGGTGTGAGATAGGCAACAAGTAAGGCATGTAGCAACATCAGCATGGCAAAGGGCACTCCTTTAAAGGCAAGGAAGGGCAAAAATATTTTAAGTCAATTGATAGCGGTTGCTGTATGAGTCGTACGATTTTTGAATCAAGCACGGGCAACGCCGGGCCATGCTACTATATATATATATATATATATATATATATATATATATATATATATATGTGTGTATCTAAGCAAATATATGGATATAGATCCGACATTATGAAGAAAAATATACTGAAAAAAACAAACAAAAGTCCTAATATGCGATTATGCTGTTTTAATGTTTGTAAACATTAAAACAGCATAATCGCATATTAGGATTTTTGTTTGTTTTTTCAGTATATTTTTCTTCATATCTGTATCTATAAATGGCATTCTGTTAGTGTGTCTGTGTGTCTGTCATCTTGTTACCTCATCCTGAGCAAACCATTCGTCCGATTGGCATGAAAATTCACACACAGATCAGAAATTTACGGCATTCCTACTTGACGTCTTCAGATTTTTCTATTGTTCCTCCGATTTTGAAAAAAAAAATCGATAAAACCGATAGGGGGTCGAATATTGATTAAAAAAATTCATCTGTTTTTCAGTGATAGTTTTCACAAATTACAAGTGATATCCACCAAACTCACGTTGAGCCATGTCCTTGCTTATAGTTTTGAGGTGCTGTCCTTTGTTCTTAAAAATTGATATCAGTTATCGGAAAAAATCGATCACTTTGGGAAATCCGATTCAAATCCAATGTATCTGATTTTTGGCTCTGCTTTTCGCAAACTGCAAGGAATTTTCACGAAAGTCACGTTGAGCATTATTTTTATCAAGTTATAAGTTGCTGACCTTTTTCTTCAATATCAGTATCAATTATCGGAAAAAATCGATAACATCATGGCACTTTTGACTTCCAATTCAAATCCAGTCAAGCTTATTTTTGACTATATTTTTCGCAAATGGCGAAGAATTTTCACCAAAATTACGTTGAGCATTGTTTTTATCCACAGTTATGAGTTGCTGACATTCATTTTCAATATTGATGTCAATTATTTGAAGAAATCGATACAATCGATCACTTTGGGACATCCGATTCAAGTCCAGTCTAGCTGATTTTTGGCTATATTTTTCGCAAATGGCGAAGAATTTTCAGCAAAATTCCCGTTGAGCCAAAGATTTACCGACAGTATTAAGGTCCTGACTTTCGTTTTCAATATCGGTTTCAATTATTGGATAAAAATCGATGAAATCATACTCATTTTGACTTTCCATTCAAATCGAGTTTACCTGAATTTGGCGATGTTTTGCGCAACTTGCTTGGGATTTTGATTAACTTTATCGGCTTTAGTCACGACAATTAAAACTTTTGCCCTGTGAGCTCGTTTGTGCCCAACTAATACCTGAGGGAAGTCGATACCATAATGTCTTCATCGGAATTTGCGAATACAGCAATCAAACGTATGTTCAACTTAGACGTCTACACTACATACTTTACAGATGATTGTTATTCACACACGCGTGACCATGTTTCACATAGCGGTATCTCATTGGCTGAGTGCTGTACGCGGTCGCTGATTGGTGTTCGAGACCCTAGGACGCTCGCTGATTGTCACAACCGATTGGCCAGTAATACTTCATAGCTGTGAGACGAAGGTCTCATTTCTGCTCCTGTTACGCCGCCATCCGGTTGATACGAAAAGGTCCTTCAACTGATCGTTTCTCTTACCGCAAGTTGTTTCTTACGTCTTTGTTTTCCGTTTGTCTGTTTAACTCCATTTTTCCAACTACCATAAACAATTTATTCAGCTGTTTTACTTAAATGCCTGCCTTTCCGATTCTGGCTCACGCTTTGCGATACTAAGTTAGACTTTGTACTCCTGCAATTGAGCAACACTAATCAACCACTACTAGCATCACTTTTCCCCATGACACCAAAAAGAGCGTCCGCTATGAGGGCAAGAATGGCCCGTGAGTCCCAGGAGCAGACTACAATGCGACTATCACAGGTCGCTCAACGCAGTGCCCTCACACAGTCACAAGAGGAGAGTACCACCTGCTGGCCTGGGAAAGCTGCCTACAGGCCTTCGTTGCGATCAAGGCTCAAGAATGCACAAGGGTCGAGAATGTACGCACAGGCTGCAGCAACCGCCTCTGCATCTCGGGCTTCCGAGACTCATCATCAAAGGCTTCTTCGTATCGTAAGAAACGCTGCTGCCACTGAGAAATCAAGGGCAATAGAGACACTTGACTGCAGGCGTGCCCGTAAATCCAGGGACGCTGCTGCAACAGCGAGCGCTAGCGCTGCTGAGACACCGTTCCGTAGGTCTGTGCAAAATACTATGAATGCTGCCACCACTGCAAGGTCGAGGACAATCGAGACACCTGCCCGCAGGCGCGCCCGTTAATCCAGGGACGCTGCTGCAACAGCGAGCGCTAGGGCTGCTGAGACACCGCTCCGTAGGTCTGTGTGAAATGCTAAGAATGTTGTACCACTGCCAGGTCGAGGGCAGCTGAAACATTTGACCACAGGCGCGCCCGTCAATCCGGGGACGCTGCTGTAACAGCTAGGTCGAGAGAGTCCAAGACAGAGCTGCAGCGGGCAACCCGCAATTCCCGCAACGCTGCAGCGACTTGTGCTGCCAGAAACTTTAAGGGTCCAAAGAGATGGTCGCTGGGCGCTTATCTGAAACTCCCCAAGCTCGCCGCATACGCCTCGACGGCGACATTCAGCGCCTTGCGGCCGCTGAGAAATCAAAGGCAATAAAAACACTTGACTGCAGGCGAGCCCGTAAATCCAGGGACGCTGCTGCAACAGCGAGCGCTAGCACTGCTGAGACACCGTTCCGTAGGTCTGTGCAAAATACTATGAATGCTGCCACCACTGCCAGGTCGAGTGCAATCGAGACACCTGCCCGCAGGCGCGCCCGTCAATCCAGGGACGCTGCTGCAACAGCGAGCGCTAGGGCTGCTGAGACACCGCTCTTTTTGGTCTTTCTTGGCTTTCAATTATGACCCCGGCATTAACTTAACTACGCGTGACGACATCAAATTTGCAACGCCCGCAAATGGACCGGGGAGCCTGCCGGTCTGTGCTGATCCTCCGGCAAAGTTCGACTGCCACCTCTACATGAAACATCGACCCCGTTGAGGCGACTAATAGCCGGCTTCCATCCCGACTCCAACCACTTCCTTAAAACAATTAGACAATACAACAACTTCTTTCAAATGACTTAATTTGGTGGTTCGAGAAGAGGGTTGGATGCCCACTTTGAAAGTACAGGGGCAGGTATACCCCCGCATAGGGTCTCTGCTGCCTGAGGAGACCTCTACGCCTAAATTCCTTCAACTGTAGTTTATTGCAGACTACAACCTACAGGCCTAAACCCGGATTAGCAGGGACGTCATGCTACTACTTCAGGCCATGCTTCACGAGGTTAACAGCTACATTCGCAGTTTCAAATATGCTTTGGAAAATGCTCCCTTTCCTTCCTTCAGCATTGTAATTGACGCCGACAAACGGCCTTATGATGAACACGAACGCCGCTACAATGCTCCTGCGTGCAACGAAGTGACCGCTATTATACATGGGGAGCAAAACCGCACTCGCGATATTGTCCTCAAATGAAGAGGCGGCGCTCTTCGCAGGACCATCGATCATATGACGCATTGCAGTACCCTTTACTTTTCCCTTATGGTGACGATGGCTACCACTTCGGTACTCCCCTTCATACTCCAAGTGGCCAATCTACAACGTCTCCCAAAGCCTTATCGTGCAAGGCCTTCTACTCATACCAGTTCATGGTTAGGGATGGAGACTTCAACCTACTTCATAGGGAGCTTTTCCAACAGATTTTGCAGTTGACATAGCCGCTAAGATTGAATCGGAGAGGCTTTGTTTTATACGGAATCATCAGAAACAGCTTCGCTCAGACTCCTACGTACACTTACGCGACAGCCTTCGAAATGAAGTCAATCCCCGCGACCCAGGGAAGCTGTGCATTCTGCCCTCTACCTACACTGAGGGGCCGCGTTACATGCATGAACGCACGCAGGACGCTATGACATACGTTAGACTTATTTATAACGTTTACCTGCAACCCCAAATGGGTTGAGATAAACGCGTGAACTCCTACCCGGACAGGATTACACTCACAGACATGACATTACAGCCAGCGTATTCCGCTTAAAACTGGGAAAACTTATGGACTTAATAGTGAAGGGGCAGATTGTCGGGCATGTTAGATGTAACATGAACACTGTTGAGTGGCAAAAAAGTGGACTACCCCATGCCCACATACTCATTTGGCTTTCTACAAAAATTGACGCCAGTCAAATTGACAGTGTCATTTCTGCCGAAAATCCGGATCCAGATGAGGACAGGTACCTATTTGAGGTTGTGAGATCCCACATGGTCCATGGGCCATGCGGTCCAGGCTACGAGGCATGCTCCTGCTGTCAAAACGGCGCACCCAGCTCTAAGGAGTTTCCTAAGACATTTGTTAATGAGACACAAACCGGTGGGGACGGATATCCTTTGTACAGGCGAAGGGCTCCGGCCAGGGGTGGGCTAACGATGCAAGCTGTGGGGGAACCGTGTTGACAACAGTTGGGTGGTCCCCTACTGTCCACGTCTCCTAAAAATATTCTGTAATTCCGTCCTCTCCATTAAATACATATATAAGTACGTTAACAAGTGGAGCGATGCCGCCATGTTCGGCGTTAAGGGGGACAACGGCCGAGACGAAGTTTCGCAGTATTTGGCTGGGCGGTACCTCAGAAGCAATGAAGCTTTTTCGCGCGTTTTCGGCTTCCCAATTCACCAGAGGCATCCAGCAATCGTACAGCTGGCAGTACCCTTAGAGAACGGACAGCGGATTTAATTCACTGAACGAACTGCGGTAAGTATCGCCGAAAACCCGAAAGACACAACTTTAACAATCTTTTTAAGTTGCGCCTTCATGACGAGTTCGCTCGAATTTTGCTATATCCACAAGTTCCATCATACTACGTTTGGGCGAACAATATTTGGAGTCGCAGGAAGTCTGGTATTAAGTTTGACACCTGTTTTGGTTGGGTCACCAAATCAGCAGGAGTGCTTCTTCCACCGGCTTCTGCTTCAAGAGGTTGTTGGGTCGACAAGCTTCGAGGCCATTCGTACTGGTGACGGCGTCGTGTGCAACACCTACCGACAGGCTTGCCTTAAACATGGCCTTTTGGAGGATTATTCTCAATGGGATGCTGCTATGGCAGAGGGAACTCTCTTACAGGCACCTGCGACCCTTCGATCCTTATTCGTGATCTTAATAGTAAGACGCGAAATAAGTGACCCCCCGATTTATGGGCTAAGTACAAAGACGCTCATACCAGCAGCAATGTCCGTTAGCCGAGTTGAGCTACACGGACCTTATTTACAATGAGGCGCTCATTTTAGCTGAAATTAGGCGACACGGATACATCGCGCTTGCTGTTGCCTCATCCGGGATTGCGGCCACATTGCTGCCGTGCGGACGGTCGGCGGACTCTATTTTTAGAATTCCGCTTGACCTTGCCAAGGCCGAAATTCCAACTTGCAGCATTTCAAAAGATTCGGGTCAGGCTGACGTATTAAGACGTTATAAACTCATAGTGTGGGACGAGTACACTATGGCTCACAAACAAGCACTCGAGGCGTTGAATAGGTCCCTTAAGACATTAGGGACTCCACTGCTCTCATAGGTGGCTTGACTTTCCTTCTGTCAGGTGACTTTCGACAAACACTGCCTGTCATTCCTAAAGAGACAAGGGCCGATGCTGTTCGTGCGTGCCTTAAGTCGTCCAACCTCTGGGCCCATGTCCAGTCATTGCATCTGACCACCAACATGCGCGCTCATACTACTGGGGACAACGGGTCCGCTGATTTTTCAAGGTGCCTTTTAACCCTCGGGGAGGGCCGAACGCCATCAGACGCAGAAGGCTACATTAACGTGGGAACAGTGTTCAGTTGTTGACACCCATCAACAGCTCAGAGATGCCGTCTTTTCGCATCTTAGTGCCAACTACTGTGACCTTGAGTGGTTCTTTGAAAGAGCTGTTCTTGATCCAAAAAACACCACAATTACTAGCATTAATGAGCAACTTCTGCAGTGCATTCCTGGGGACGATTACATCTACAAATCCCTCGACAGGACGCCCGACCTGGACAACCTTACGGACTACCCGGTCGAACTTCTGTATTCCTTGAACCGGCTGGGCTTCCGCCTCACACACTGAGACTGAAAGTGGGCGCGCCTATTATGCTTTGCGTAACCTGGTTCCCCCGAAACAGTGCAATGGTACACGCATGGGGATTAAGTCTTTAGCACCAAATTTAATTGAAGCGACAATTCTTACCGGTTGCGGAAGGGGTGAAACTGTATTCATACCTCGCAAGCATCTATCGCCGTCGGGTTCAGATGTGCCTTTAAATTCCGCCGGTCGTAGTTTCCCGTTAGACTTTGTCTATTAATAAATCACAGGGCCAAACACTACGTGTTACGGGAATTCACCTTGGAGAGCAGTGTTTTTCCCACGGCCAGCTTTACGTAGGCTGTTCGTGTGTAGGTAGAAGCGAGGACGTATTCGTCTTCACTCCCAGGGGCTCTGCAAAAAATGTCGTTTACACGGAGCTTCTGTAGGTTGATGGGATGTAGGCGGCGTCTGACAGTTTACCTCTATGCTGTATAAACCGTCGGCAACACTACAAATCGCAACGCAAGAGCAGTTTTCCCTCTTACCACGCCTTCACAGCCTACCTGCCTTACAGACGTCCGTGAAATTTGTCTCCAATCGTTACTACACCGCTCCAGATAAACACTTCCTTCCACCATCCCCGGGCGTATTCGCATGCCTGCTTGCGTTTTCTCTCTACTGCCACTGTCATCTCCATTACACCACTACCATCTACGCTGTGAAGGCATCAATAATTGTGTTAAGCCCCCACCTCCAGGCAAATGCATCGCTGATGCTGCATCCATTCCCAACATTTTTGAATAGCTGAGCGCTACAGGGAGCTTGCAATAACATGCGCTTTCCCTAGGTTTCAGTGTTTAGTTCCGTCATACAGTTGATCACCGGCAGTACTACATGAAACGCATCACAGACATCACTCTTCAACATTGTGGGATTAGTTTGGAATCTCTGTACTGGCCTTAGCCAGGTATCGCCTATTGAATTAATCTACAACTGTACAACTTGTCTGTTGCAGGGAGTTGGCATCGTGGAATCCTTCTGGGACCAACTAGTTAATTCCTTCTCCGCTTTGCTTCTCACACACTTAACTGTTGACCTGTTTGCGGTAGTGCCATCGCCATCTTTCACTCAGCCTGTGTTGCGCGTGCCGTTGTGTGCTTTTGTGTTTACTGAAGTCAGCTTAAACGGTGGTCAATCTATTTAAAAAAAAGATGATTCAAGACATACTTAGAGGTTGACTTATTTCCAACTTCAAAATTCCCGGCACCTACAATTGGCTGCTGGTGGTACCTCAGGCTCATACTGTGATGCACTAAGACAAAACGTACTTGCGCTACTTTGTGCACTACCTGCTGCTTTAGACTCAACACTGAATCATACAATCGCATGCGCTTACAGGGTTGGAGGTCTATAGTTGAGCGGGGCCACGCAATTCAGGGCATTCAGAGCGGTATTTGATGAGGTCAGCGACGCGTAGATGTTGACACAATGGTTGGCACTTTCAGTTGAGATGCACAATGCCCCCACTACTCTCTGCAGCTACTTTAAGCGTCGATTCAATAGGCTGAAACCTGAGTGCTGGCCAGTCGGCAATAAGTTCTGAGCATTTCGCTTACTTATTGAGCCAGCGTCTATTATGAAGAGCGATTTCTGCGGGTGCTTCATTGTAGCTCTGTCTACCAGTAACTTCTACGGTATAATACTTCAAACTTTACGGAAGGCCAAATGTTACGTTGCAAGCTCCATTCCTTTACTGGGTTTTTCATCCGCAGTAAAACCGATAACAACATCTACTCCCAGTACTCCCAATTCACAAACCATTGCGCTTAACACAACTATTGACCCCTACATGCAACTGTGATGACCTCTGTTCGTGCGCCACGACAATTACCGAGTGTGTGCGGGGGGGGGGGTCACGTGCGTTCGTACGGTCAGTTTCCTGTGAGGGATGGGTTTCATCTTGCCATAAGAAATGAAGTCAAATCTTTCTCGGTTCAATAAATGGACACTCCAGACTTATGCCAAAAAAAAAAAAAAAAAGGAATGGACACAAATTCACCACTAGGTCAAGGGCTTTCCAATAAAACTAAGCAAGCCGTAGGGTCGGGTAGGTGAACGTGTGCAAACTGGAGTAGAGCAGCTTTGCCGACCACCGACGCCGATATGTTAAGCGAGTCCTACAGTGAAAAAGCAACCACTATTTTACATTACCAGAATTAAAAATCTTGACCGATTATGAACGGGTGGCAGTCTTCGGTTAAGTACGAAGCAGCAACACAGCAGCCACCTCTTGCAATAGGTTGCCCTTGATCTCATTGACTACCAGTGAGATTCCCGGCCTATCAGTGACCTCAACAACTGCGGATACGTGCGTAAGTTCAATAATTCAAAGCCCAAAAGCAATGCAACACCGGGCTTTACTGCTAGTATATATATATATATATATATATATATATATATATATATATATATATATATATATATATATATATATAGATAGCGCAATAGCGATAACAAGGTGCTGAATATAACATAAATCAGCTAATTGACATTTTATTCGAATTAATCCTATATATATATATATATATATTTATATATATATATATATATATATATGTGTGTGTGTGTGTGTGTGTGTGCGTGTGTGTTAAACAAGCAATACTAAAATTTAATTAATTTTTAATTCTGCTCGAACAATCTTTGCAAAATATTAATTTAAATGGCGTGCCAAGATAAAAGTGATTTGTCCAACTTCAAAGAAAAAATTGTAATTCCATTTTAGTGTCTTTTAGGTGTTAAATTTATAAGAATGAAAACGACTATTATTACGTTATCCAAACAAATCAATCCTAAAGTTTGTTCAGTGAATGAAAATCCCTCTAGTTATACTAGCGTTTAAAATATTGTTTTAATGATTAAGTGTTTATTTACCATTTTTGTTCTTTAATTTATTTGAACAAATTTTGATACTTAATTTGATTGTTATGCAAAAATGAAAAAGTGCGTGATTTTCACTGTTGAGCAATTAGTCGCTTTATTAATAGACGTCTACATCATTCTCATAAAATATTGGCAACAAGAAGAAACGTTGCAAATATCTCACTATTCTATCGCTATTTCCATGGAAAGTGTTCAGGCGAACTACATTCCATAGTTATACTAGTTCTGACCTTCATAGATAAGACCCACCATGCCACCCCTATGGTAGGGAACCATTCTCATTACCTTCGTATTCCTTTGGTGATATATAATTTCCATTCGAACAGTTTCTTGCCAGAAATCACTTCTTCCCCGATCACTACACTTTTAACTTGTCCAAGTCTAGTGTTAACCGCTATCTTCCAACACATATCCTCATAAACTGTGTCTCTTAGCTCTTAAACTATAACAATCTACCTCGAATGGCTGTTGGGTATAGTACAGGGTGAACATTAGTGTAAAAAAGTTAAAAGGCCGCAAATTTAATCTCAAAGTATCACAATTTAATCATGATAAATGTATTTAAATTTCGATTCCTTAAAATATAAATAAAATCGTTTGATCAAATTGTGAATTAAAATTACCTTCATACTGATGTACAGAAATAAAATTATAAAATCTCAGTGTAAAACTTTTCAACGAGATTAATATATCGTTTCATTAGCGATAGAATTTGGAAAGCTTTTGAAAAAGACTAATAAAATTCATCACGATTATTAAAATATTTAATTTCAGGCACTACTGTCCATCCGGAACAAAAAATGAATAAGATATTTTGAAAAACAATTGACAAGAGGATTAGCAATCATATGATGAACGTTCGACATGTGGCATTTTTATTGCCATGTAGCCGACAAAAATTCTTTCTTTCTTTTTACTGTATATATTTATTCAGCAGACACTGTAACGATAATAAGTCATTAAATTGAAATGTCTTGTTTGTTAGTAAAATGACATAGAAATGATATTATACCAAAAGGAATCTTTCTCGTCAGTAAATATTTTCAGTTTAGTAAGCGAGGTTTACTAAAAATGAACCGAATTGTCAAAACACTATCAGTAACGGTACACTTTATGGTTTAACTTCCCCCTTGTAGAAATTGGCCCAGCCGGATTACACACACACACACACACACACACACACACACACACACACACACACACACACACACACAAATATATATATATAATGAATAGGTAAAGTAGTAGTGTGGTTGTGGTAGTATAGGTGTGACAGCCATTGAATATATAGATGATTTAAAACTATTTGATAGAGGGTTGATTGTTTATGGCCAGAAAGATAGAGCGCTTTCCGAATTGGTAAATACTCAAGCTTTCTTTTTGCAGCCACACTAAGAATAATTGAATTCTGGACACATATCAAAGCCACCCGAAAATTGCGGGCGTCCACCGGAGATGTAATAACGAGGACGTGGGCTACTGAAAAGGAGGTAATCATGTAAATGAAAAATAATATTCATCAATTCACATCCCGCTTCAAAACTGATGCTGCTCAACCCATCGTAGTAAAATGCATTGTACAGCATACACTACAATGCATAAAATTTTGCGCTTATCGACCAACAAATGGAGAATTACGAGGGTGGGATGGAAAGTTCATAAGCTGACTATGAAGGAGGGATGTTAGAACTATGAAATCTAGCATACATGAATTTCGCAGCTTCCAAAAATAGCTGATTCTGTCCAGGTAAACTGACATCTGACTGTTTAGAGGAGAATAGGGAAGATGATCAATTAGTTCAATGGCACAGTTACGCATAGCAACCGTTGAAACCAAGGA